GCCCTGGGCTATCTGTAGTTCTCTGTGTATGGATTTATCAGTTATGGCTGATGAAGTAGGTAGGTAGGGTTTCCTAGAATGAAGGTGGACCATATACCCTTAGAATGAAAGTGGACCATATACCCCTGTTTTTTTCTTTCTTCTTTTTTTGTAGAAATGAGACTTCTGACAGGCCACATTTGTAAACACCCAATCATCTCAATATTCTAGCATTATAAACCCTGCCTGTGCTGCCAACATTACCGTGCATAAACCTTCCCCTGTTTTCCATCAGCCCCTGCAAAAACAGGGATGAGTATCCATGGCAGATGGTGTACTCTTTGGCTCCATGGGGAGATTAGGCCATTTATCAGGTTATGTCCCAGCACTGTTTAGAAGCCCCATTCTCTGAAAACCATTTATAATTTTGGGATTGTCCCAATGACTATCCCAAATGACAGCACAAAGATAAAGATGTCTCCCTATGGCTTTGCAAATCTTTATTGCAATAACCCCCACATCAATTTTTTTTTGCCATAAAGCTATAGCCCTCTGGGGTTGCCAACTTCCAGATTGAAATTGTTTCCTATTTTTGCACTGGTAGCAACTCCCTCAGCGTTAACTACTGATGTTGTAGGACAGGGCAAGCTCCTTGTAGACATCCAGGAAATTCAGCCTCTTTATCCAAGAGGTCTGATGCCACAGCTAGTCATCCCATCTCTGCAAAACACTGTTTTCTCACATGTCAGTGCTCATTCTTTTGGAGCAGAACCATGGGTGAATTCTGGGGTGGTGTGGTCACACCCCCTTTCTCCTGTGTAGTCTAGTAAACTTTCCATCCCCAGGCCAGTGGGGACACCCCAGTCCTTCAGGGAAGGGCCAGTCAGGGAGTAGTTGCAAGAAGCGGGAACCTGTCTGCCACCACTGTTGTTATCAGCCAAGCCCAGTAACCTGTGTAGTTACTCCCTGCAGCTGGAGTCCCTGGACTGGCAGGACTAAACAGGGAGGGGAGAGGCAGGAAGAAGGTAGCAGGTATCTGCTCATTGCCACCGCCTCTGGTGGAGTCCTGCACCCTGTGGAGCTGCATCTTGCAGTTGGAGCCCCCAGGTCACTGGGGTAAAGCAGGAGGGATCAGGCAGGGAGCAGGTACAAGAAGGGGTGCCTCACCTGTGCTGCCCATCTCCTGCTGAGCCTGGGACTCTTCACAGCTGTTGCACACAGCCCCTGGCTGGAGCAGGTTAGGATTAGCCCTGGGGCTCCTTCCATGCCCAGGTCAACCAGGGGCAGCGGGGACAGTGGACAGGTCCCTCCTTCCCACGCCTGTTTCCAGAGGTTCTAACTGCGGGGAGTGAGTGGACGAGGACCTGGGCTTAGCTTGGTTGGTGGCAGTGTCAGGCTGGTCCCTCCCTTCTGTGCCTGCTTCCTGCCCCTGCCACTTACTAGAAGCGTTTCATCATACTAGGTGAGAGAGAACCTGGGCTACGTACAGCAGTGAGAGATACACTCTAGCATGTTGTATGAACAGTATTAACTAGTGTACTCCATTGGGTGGAATGTTTGTGCTGGTAGTTGTGTGTAGATGTGGGCAGGTCTGGTCATGATTTGTACTCCAGCGTGAGCTTAAATGTGCACTTTATGTCGGGATAGACATGGTCTTATGTGTCCAAGTTGCTTTTGAGTCTTACTCTGTAAGTTCTCTGGGGTATGGGCTTCACATTTTTATCTGTCACTAAAGTTCCTAACACTTTTGGCTCTTTAAATAAAGAGCTGCAAGTAAAAGCTGGGTCTTCTTTGAAAATTGAATGCTGGTATGTAAAAACAGCCCCTTTATTCAAATGATCTGTTGCTTGTATGTATTTAGAACATATCTACTTTTGCAAAAAAGGTACATTTATATTATGGCATAGTTCAGTTAACGGTTTTAGATGATTTAGCTGGGCTGTCTCTGGCTTGTACATCATCATAGTGTTACTAACTAAATTCCAGTTACAAAATAGTTTTATTGACATTGATTTTTAGGAAAACAAAAATAAGTTTGATTTTAGGATTCCAGGCAGAATTTTTGTGGCCAAAACCGGGGCAAACAAAATTTTACATGTAATGTCAACAGTTTTAATCTGAAAATTATTGATATACTGTGATACTCTTGGATCCCCAAAACACCATTTCCACAGAGTCAGTTTTTAGAGAAGAACTGTTCTTTAAAGAACAACATAATTAAAAACATTGTTACTTTAAGAAAGGAAAACCAGCCTCTGCTATGTATGGAAGCCATACATAAATAAGGCAGAAAGCAAGGTAAAGATGCAACTTATAGGCCAGACATAGCCCGCTGGCCAGATCTGACCCATTGGTCTCTGGACCAAATCCACACACTGCATGGGGCACTCCCTGATGCTGGCCCTATGCTCTGCATGTGACATGGGCTGGACCCAGTACTGCATACACTGTCTGTGATGCCTGCATCAGATCAGCTTTGCACACTGGTTCCAGGGCCATGCCAGAGCTGGTAAAGAGGGTTGGTCCAGTGGGGAGCTGCATTGAGCACACACCCTGTGCTGGTTCCCTGTCCTGAGTACAGCATGTGTGACTGGTCCAGCCCATGCCCCGTGTGCAGCACATGTTAGCCCTGGGGCTCACTCTGTACATGGTGCACAGGCTGGATTCAGGCTTTCAGCACTGAGGAATATGAGGAATATGGGGCATGGGTTGCATGTGACACCCTGCTGGACCAACCGTGTGTGCTGGCTCTGGCATGCATAGGTGGCCTGGAGCCTGATCTGGACTGGTCCCTGAGCCAGCAAGCAGGGCCTGTCCAGCAAGACACTGCCTGCAGTATGCACCCTGGACCGACCCCCTGTGCTGCATGCAGCACCAGGTCTGTCCTGTGAACTGTGCAGTGGAAGCCCCAAAGCATGGCTGGCACCTGTTGTATATGGCATGAGGGCTGGACCCAGTGTTGCAGGCACTGTATGCAGCACTGGCAGTCAGTCCCAATGCATCTTGTAGACCAGCTCAGCAAAGGGCTGGATGATTTGACAACCCTTTTATAGATTAACAAAATGAAAACCAGCCTCTACTATGGAAGCCATATATAAATGAGGCAGAAGGCAGGGTAGAAATGCACCTTACAGACTAACTAAATTTATACTACCCACAAAAGAATTTCTAAATGTAGTTAGTCTATAAGGTGTGTCTTTACCTGCCTTCTGCCTGATTTCAGGCTAACATGCCTAACTACCCCTCTCTGTTCACATGTAAGTAAGTTTTGCTCAGCACAGACCCTCTTGTTTACAATCAGAAGACTCGGTGACTGCTAATGTAGCAATTAGACCATGGGCAATGTTTTTGGGCCAAGTACCGAAAACACCCCAACGTCAAGCCGTGCCTCCACTTAGCATGCCAGAGGTAGACAGCAGAGGAGCCATGAGGGGCCCAATCCTCATTGCTGGAGGCAGGTGCACATGCGCCTCTGGGTGGATGGCAGGGGAGGGGCCAGGATCAGTGCAACCCTGGTCTCTTACCCCGCCATTTGCCTGGAGGTACACATGCACTCGTCACTGCCACGGAGCCAGTTCCAAGGCTCTGGACCCTGGTACAGCTGTTTGCAGCCTCCTGGCTGCCTACTGTACCCAACCTAAGCTCTGGGTAGCTGCTGCCTGCCACAGAGCCTAGGCTGCTTGTATCAGGGCTTGCTCCCCATCGCCTTCTGTGAGCAGCTCAGCTCCATGGCTGGCAGCAGCTGCCCACAGCCTGGGTAGTTGTGGCATGCTGAGCAAAATGACCTTGTGTGCCATGTTCTGGTACAGATGCTAAGGGTTGCTGATCCCTGAATTAGGCCAGTTATTTGGGCTGGAGGGCCACTTACGGAGTCTGGGTGAGCTGTTGTGGACCAGGTCAGCACCCCCCACATCCTGCAACAGCTCACCCAAACTTCCTAAGTGGTCCTCCAGCCCAAATAATTGCCCACCCCTGAGCTAAGGGCAGAAAGAACAATGATTAGGGGAACCTAATCTTTGTTCCTCTCTTCTCCCCCATCCCCTCTCCTGCCTGGAGTCCCTGGCATGTGACTCAGCTGGTGCTGTGCTGAATTCCTATGCATTGTCTCAGGCCATGTGGGTGCAGCTGGTACAGTTCCTGCCTGACTCAGCTGCGTGCCAGGGATTTGGGATGAGGAAAGGAGTGCAGAGAGAAGCGGGGGGAACACAGCGTGGCACCAGCCTGACTGGGCCTGAATGACCTGTGGCTCCTGGCCCCCTTCTCCCTGCAGCCCCTCCCCTGCTCCAAGTCAGCAGCCAAGTCCCCAGCATGTGATCAGGCCAGTGCTGCACTGTGTTCCTGCACGCCATGATGGGCCACGTGGGTGCAGCTGGTGCCATTCCTGTCCAACCCGGGCGTGTGCTGGGGACTTGGGGTCAGGCAGGAGCCAAGCCAGGGTTGGGCAGGAGTCATGCCAGCTGTTCCAGCTGAGGCCATGTGGTGCAGCTTTGCGCAGGAACATGGCATGCCACTGTGTTAGCGGCACCTGTACTCCTACCAGGCCCTGGCCTTCTTCCCTCTGCACCCCCTCTCCCCCAGCAGGGAGAACCTTACCTGAGCTTCCATTTGTCGGCCTCAGGGTCAGAGAGGCAAACAGACAGCCTTACCAGGCAGAAGCCTAGCCAGGAGCTCTATGCCCCCTGCCTTGGAGGTGGTACACTGGGGAGGTGGGACAACACGGGCTAACCAGGGAGGGGAGTGAGTTGGTGGTGCTGCTGCAGCAGGCTGGCATGAGGAAGGGAGAAGAGCAAAGGCACCAAACTCCAGGGCAGCCACGGGTCAAATACAGTTCTTCTTCAGAGGAGCAGCCATGGGCTGGGTAAAATCATTTGGTGGGCTGGATTCAGCCTGCGAGCTGTATTTTGCCCACCCCTGAATTAGGCTCTCACCCAAATTTCTTCATCAGCAAAGGATCAGTTAGTTATTCCAATGTAAGGGAAATGTCTGAAAGTAATTGTTTATTTTTTCTTTAACACCCTTAGGGCGGAGAGCACTGTTATTATCATGGGAACATTAGAGGTATCAAGAACTCCAAAGTTGCCCTTTCAACATGCAATGGCCTCCAGTAAGTGCAAGTCTTCATTTCTTGAAAGCGACTCTGTTACCTGATTGCTGCTCTTGGGTCTCACCTCTTAACGTGAGACAAACTGAAACTCCCCAAGTGCTCAAAAATTTTGTTGTTCAGAAATACAGGCTGTGTAATGTCAGCTAAAAAACAGCTTGTAGTGCTTTAGTGGTCCTATTTAGAGCATTTTATGCTGGTTTCTTACTTACCACAATCAGCTAAGAAACACATTTTTAGACTTGTTATGCCCTTCACCCTCACTTTTGATTGATGGCTTCTCTGTATCTCCAGAATGATTTTTCTGGTTTCTTTTAGTTTTGCAGTGTCCTGTAGTGTCTTCCTCACAGCAGATCAGACAGAAATGTTGTGGAACAGGACTGAGGTGCCATTGGTAGGACAACGTGAGGAAGCTTTTACAGATTAAAGCCAGCCTCTATACAATATAAAGCCAACCTGGCTTTACCACTGCAATTAAGCCATTTTTGAACATTTTTGGAATTAAAGATTTTTGGTTCTTGTGGGTGAAACCTTTGCAAATTGTAAATAGGAAAAAAATGTTTTTGTTAAGGTTCTTCAGTCTGTAAGAGATTAAAAGCATGGACAAGAATCACATATCAGTTCTTATTGTGATTCTTTTGATATTACTGTGATTACTTAGGTATGTAGATATAATTTGGACAAAAATAATCTGTTGGGGGTTTTTTTGTTTAGGGGGGTATAAAGTAAGATTGTAGTCTATCGG